AAAAAAAAAAAAAAAAGAAAAGGAAGGAAAGAAAAAGGAAGGGAGGGAGGGAAGGAAGGAAGGAAAGAAAGAATGGAAGGAAATAAAGGAAAGAAAGAAAGAGCTTGTTATCCCAAAATTGATTATGGAGGCATTAGCCCCAAAGAACTCGGGCTGAATGAGAACATCTAATTTGGCAGCTAGTTTTTTTTTTTTTTTTTTTTTTTTTTGTCCTACTGCATGCCTAGCACTAAAGGAAAACAAGATCTGCTATAACATAATGTTTAGGTGTCGAGTTTTCTTTTGTGGTTAAATGACAGAGGAAAGGAAGGAGCCTGCTCACAGATCAGGTGAAAAATGTGATTTCAGGAGGGCGTACTAGGAATCTGCAGAAGGCCAACTGGTGAGAGATTGAAAAGTAGCCTTGTGAGGTCCTAATGACTGGCGGGGTTGGCAGAGAGAACTGGTGGACCCTGAGAGCCATCTTCCGAGTACAGAGGGCCATCATTGGGAAGAAAGACTAAACATCTGTGTGGCTTCAGAGGTGGAACCAGGACTAAAAAGTGAAAATGACAGGAGGCAGAACTTTCCTTGAAAGTCTAGTATTTTTAAATCTGATTACAAAATTAGTGTGCTTTTATAGAATAATTTTGAAAATATTAAAAAGTAGAAAAAGTCAGTCATATCATTACCCAAAGAGAACTATTGTTTTCTTTCTATTATTTTACTTATTTTTCATTTGTTTAGAGACAGGGTCTTGTTCTGTCACCCAGGCAGGAGTGCAGTGGTGTCATCATAGCTCACTGCAGCCTCAAACCCCCAGGCTCAAGTGATCTTCCCACCTCAGCCTCCTGAGTAGCTGGGACTACAGGCGCATGCCACCATGTCCAACTTTTTTTTTTTTTTTTTTTTTTTTGATATAGATAAGGTTCACTTTGCTGCCCAGGCTGGTCTCTAATACCTGGCTTCAAGCAGTCCTCCCACCTCAACCTCCCAAAATGCTGGGATTACAGGCTTGAGCCACTGCGCCAAGCCATATTTTGAATTTTCTTATGATAAAATTGTTTTTCTTTTTTAGAGACAGAGTCTCGCTATATTGCCCAAGCAGGACTTGAACTCCTGGGCTCAAGTGATTCTCCTGTCTCAGCCTCCTGAGTAGTTGGGACTATAGGTGCACAGCAGTGTACCACCACACCTGACTTTTCTTTTTCTTGTGGCAAATCCTCAGAAATAGGATTGCTTATTATTTTTAACAATCAGAGTTGTATAACACAGGAATAGGTTGCTTCAACAAGTGGTAAGGCTAGGCCAGCACAGTGGCTCGTGCCTGTAATCCCAGCACTTTGGAAAGCTGAGGTAGACAGATCTCTTGAGCCCGGAATTTCAATACCAGCTTCAGCAAGATGGCGAGATTCCATCTCTACCAAAAAAAAAAAAAGAAAGAAAAAATTAGCTGGGAGGGGTAGTGTGCACCTGTGATCTCAGCTACTCAGGAGGCTGAGATGGGAGGATCACTTGAGCCTTGAAAGTTGAGGCTACAGTGAGCCATGATCATGCCGCTGCACTGCAGCCTGGGTGACAGAGTGAGACCCTGTCTCAAAAAAGGAAAAAAAGAGGAGTGAAACTAAAAGTCTACTTACCAGGATGTTGTTTTGTTTTGTTTTTTTGTTTTTTCAGTTTTTTGTGTTTTTGAGACAGAATCTTGCTCTGTTGCTCAGGCTGGAGTGCAGTGGTGCAATCTCGGCTCATTGCAAGCTCCGCCTCCCGGGTTCATGCCATTTTCCTGCTTTAGCCTCCCCAGTAGCTGGAACTACAGGCGGCCACCACCACGCCCAACTTTTTTTTTTGTATTTTTGGTAGAGACGGGGTTTCACCATGTTAGCCGAGATGGTCTCGATCTCCTGATCTCGTGATCCACCCACCTCAGCCTCCCAAAGTGCTGGGATTACAGGCATGAGCCACCGCGCCTAGCCCTACCAGGATGTTAAAGAAGAATTTCTTCGTTAGGTTGGGTCTTGGACATGGTCACCATTACATTTCCTTTACACTGTTTGATTCCGTGAATCTATTAGAGGCTTGAGAGTTCTGTCTGTGATACTGATTTGGTTTTGGGGAGAGCCAAGCTGAGGATCAGAGATTTGAAGCATGACTAAAAGTTCAGATGAGCTGCCACAGATGCCTACTGAGCAAGTGAAACTTGATGTCTTTCTGGCTTTGCCTTGTTCTAACTTTAAGGATATGCTACCATCATCCTTCATACTTATACCCAACCTGCCATTTTCTGATGAAGTATAACATATTCCTTCCGTGTTTGTTCCAGTGGTTCTTGGGACTGTGCTACTGTTCTCCCCACTGACCTCACCCATTCCAGAGGTTTTTCAACACTCTGGAGCAGGGCTAGCCCACCATGCCGCAAATGACAGGCAATGGCCAGTTCACTGGGTGGGCTGTTTTAGGGGTGGAATCAGGTCCTGGGAGCCACCTTATTATCCATCCTCCAAAGTTTGATGATTTTTTTTTCCCCCAGGTAATTAAATGTGTATTTTGTGGACCTGGGCTTGGCTGGAATGCTCAGGAGTCCTGAAGATCCTTTTATAGCTACCTTCTGTTAAACCCATTAAGAAAAGATGGCAAAAGTCAACATAACTAGAGACCTCATCCGTAGGCAGATCAAGGTAAGCAGCCCAGACTTCTGAACCAGATCATGAGATCCTTTCTTTCCCACAGGTTGATTTTACAGGTGAAAAAACTGAAATCTACAGTCTGTGACTTGCCGAAAGTCACATAGTTAGTGGCAGACCCAGGACTAGAATCAAGGTCTCTTCCTCTCCATCTTGTGTTGTTTAAGAACGTGGATTTCATGGAGACTCTGTCCACATACTTGTGCCTGGGCTGCTGAGATTAATGCAGGCTGGCGAGGGAGGGGAGCTGTCAATGTGTTGTGCAGATACATACACATTCTTGTGTTGGGCAGGTGGTGCACAAGAGTAAATATAACTTCTTCATGTTGCTCCAGCTGCCAAGTTGTGTATGTATGAGATCCTGGGAGAGCATTAGTCCCAGTTCAGCTTGTATTCTCTCTGAGGCTCTCCTGTGCTAAAGCCTGTCCTCTGCAGTTTATATGTAGAAGACACTCTGATACCTGTGAGATGAATGGATGACTGGGCAGTCAAGTTCAGTTAGTGAAGTAGCCCCAAGCTTTGTCAGGGAAACCCTCAGTAAAGGACCCATAGAGGTTTAATGGAATACATTAAACCAAGGCATGATGCGCTCCAGCTCTGGTAAGAATCCCCAGCTGGAGTCAGGAGCTTCATCTCACCACTGCCCTAATTAACTAACTATAGGTCTTTAGTCATTTTACCTCCTGTGCCTCAGTTTTATGTTGTTAAATGATGATAATGGCTGTCTGCCTGGAGACTGACCTTGAGAAAGTTCTTTGACAAGTTAAGTGCTAAAAAGTACTAAAAAAAATTTTTTTTTTTCCAAGACGCTGTGATGCTGTTACCCAGGCTGGGGTGCAGTGGTGTGATCTCGGCTCACTGCAACCTCCGCCTCCCAGGTTCAAGCGATTCTCTTGCCTCAGCCTCCCAAGTAGCTGGGACTACAGGCATATGTCACCATGCCCAGCTAATTTTTTGTATTTTTAGTAGAGACGGGGTTTCACCGTGTTAGTCAGGGTGGTCTTGATCTCCTGACCTCGTGATCCACCCGCCTTGGCCTCCCAAAGTGCTGGGATTACAGGTGTCAGCCACAACGCCTGGCCTAAACAAATTTTTAACAAAAAAATTTTTAAAAATCAAGTGGCATGCAGCATAAGCTGTGGTCACCATTTAGAAGGATTGAGTATGTGCCTCTACATGAGCCATGTACTTGGTGTATTTGTGTATTTTTCCCTGCATCCCTGGATCCTTTTATCTCATTTTTATTTTTATTTTTATTTTTATTTTTTGAGACAGAGTTTTGCTCTTATTGCCCAGGCTGGAGTGCAATGGCATGATCTTGGCTCACTGCAACCTCCACCTCCCAGGTTCAAGTGATTCTCCTGCCTCAGCCTCCCGAGTAGCTGGGATTACAGGCGTGTGCTACCATGCCTGGCTAATTTTGTATTTTTAGTAGAGATGGGGTTATACCATGTTGGCCAGGCTGGTCTTGAATTCCTGACCTCAGATGATCTGCCCTCCTTGGCTCCCAAAGTACTGGGATTACAGGCATGAGCCACCATGCACAGCCCCTGAATCCTTTTAGCTTTGTCCATTTGTGGGAGTTTTTTGTGTGTGATTTCATTAGACTGAGTAGTCCTTAAAGACAGGGGCCATTTCCTAGAAGCACAGAATCAGCAGGGTTTTTTTTCCCTTTGTGTGCAATGTGTGTCCTAAAGATGATTCCCACCCTGTTCATCCTAAATATGGAACTATTCCCCATTGTTGTTTCCAGGTTTTCTTCTCTCCTTTTTAAAAATTTTTTGCTTTTTTTTAAAAAAAAAAAAACGGAACAGCACCACTTACTGCTTAATTATATTCTACTGTCTTCTATTCTTCTCTAATCCTTGTCCAAGAATAATACAAAGTCCTGTAGGCCAGTTCTTTGTTGTCTTCTTTAGCTCCTGTGGTGCCCAGGAAAGGGCTGGATATATAGTAGGCACATAATAAATCATATTTAATTGAATCGATGAAATCAAGAATTTGTTTCTGTCCGCTAGGAGCGGGGTGCCCTGAGCTTTGAGCGGCGCTACCATGTCACTGACCCCTTTATCCGGCGGCTGGGCCTGGAAGCAGAGCTGCAGGTAAGAGATCCAGTTTACACCCTAGATGCAGATGACCTGCTGTCCATTCTCTGCCTGCAGAAATCCTCTTGGCCTCATCAAGGCATAAACAAGTGTTTCTCTGCAGACCATATCTGATGGTTACTTCTCCTTCAATAGACAACTAAATCTGAATCAAGTCAGCTATTGACATAGTCACGTATAAATTATTTTTTTGGACATACTATTTGCTTTGTGCTTTAAAAAAGTTTGTTCAATTTCATACCACTATTTTTACTATTGGCTTGGGCAGTGAATACAGATTCCTACCTGTATACAGTAATATAGAATTTATAGTGTTTTCATGTACATATACACATACACATAATGTATACATACACACACACACAAACATACACACTTTCTTATTTTAGCATCAAAGCAATGCTATGGGTATGTAGACTGAGAATAGGTATTTTAAAAAAAAGACTGACTCATGCCTGTATTCGCAGCACTTTGGGAGGTCAAAGAGGGTGGATCACTTGAGGTCAGGAGTTTGAGACCAGCCTGGCCAACATGGTGAAATACCAACTTTACTAAAAATACAAAATTAGCCAGGCATGGTGGTGCATGCCTGTAATCTCAGCTATTCGGGAGGCTAAGGCATGAGAATTACTTAAATCCAGGAGGCGGAAGTTGTAATGAACCAAGATCGTGCCACTGCACTCCTGCCTGGATGACAGAGCAAGACTGTTTCTCAAAAAAGAAAAAAATAAAAGAAAGCCAAGTTCAATGATACATGCCTATAGTCCCAGCTATTTGGGAGGCTGAGACAGGAGGATTGCTTGAGCCCAGGAGTTCAAGTCCAGCCTGAGCAATATAGCAAGACCTCGTCTCTAAAAATTAAAATAATAAAATGTTAAAAAAAAAAAAAAAGCCAAAAACCAAAACACTTGTTCAAATTTGTCCTGTCCAGTCCATGGATAGGCCAGACCTTTGGTCCAGAAATTCAGCTTTTTCATTGTGTCTGACATAGAGACTCCATAATGTTAGTTCCATTCTCTTTTCTTCCTCAACGTCATGTGTTTTGTGTTTTGTGGGTCTTTGTTTTTTTTGTTTGTTTGTTTTTTTGTTTGTTTGTTTTTGGTAGAGTTGGGGTCTTGCTATGTTGCCCAAGCTGATCTCCAATTCCTGACCTCAAACAGTTCTCCCACCTTGGTCTCCCAAAGTGCTGGGAATACAGGCGTGAGCCACCTCACCCAGCCAAGATCACATTTTGAATCTAATTTTTTTTTTTTTTTTGAAACAGTGTCTTGTATTGTTGCCCAGGCTGGAATGCAGTGGTGCCATCTTGGCTCACTGCAGCCTCAATTTCCCGGGCTCAAGTGATCCTCCTGCCTCAGCCCCGTGAATAGCTGGGATTACAGATACATGCCACCATGCCCAGCTAATTTTTGTATTTTTTTGTAGAGACAGGGTTTCACCATGTTGCCCAGGCTGGTCTCAAACTCCTGAGCTCAAGCCATTCACCTGCCTCAACCGCCCAAAGTGCTTGGATTACAGGTGTGAGCTACTGTGCCTAGCCCACATTGTAATCTTTAAGAACTTAGTACTTGTTGAGTTTTGGCATAGTATCAAAGAAGGATATACACAATTATCTAAAAAGGCTATTCAAATATTCCTTCCAATTCCAGCTTCTTTGTGAGGCTGGATTTTTTTTCACATACTTCAACCAAAACTGACGTTGCAGTGGGCTGAATACAAGAGCAGATGAGAATCTACTGGTCTTCCATTAAACTATACATTAAAGAAGTTTGCAAAAATGTAAAACAACACCACTCTTCTCATTAAATTCTTTGCCTTGGAAAATACAGTTATTTCATTTAAAATGTGTTTTGTATTGTTTTTTTTTAGCGAATTAATAATATGCCAGCCTGGGCAACATAGCGAGACCTTGTCTCTACTAAAAATTTTTTTAAAAAGGAATTAGCCAAGCATGGTGGTGCATACTTGTCCCAACTATTTGGGAGGCTAAAATGGGAGGATCACTTGGGCCTAGGAGGTTGAGGCTGCAGTGAAGTGTGATTGTGCCACTGCACTCCAGCCTGGGTGACAGAGTGAGACCCTGTTTAAAAAAAAAAAAAAAATTGCTGGGCGCAGTGGCTCACGCCTGTAATCCCAGCACTTAGGGAGGCTGAGACGAGCGGATCACCTGAGGTCAGGAGTTCAAGACCAGCCTGCCCAACATGGAGAAACCCCAGCTCTACAAAAAATACAAAAATTAGTTGGCTGTGGTTGTGCATGCCTGTAATCCCAGCAACTTGGGAGGCTGAAGCAGGAGAATCGCTTGAACCCTGGAGGCAGAGGTTGCAGTGAGCCAAGATCATGCCATTGCACTCCAGGCCTGGGCAACAAGCATAAAACTCCATCTCAGAAAAAAAAAAAATTGTTTTAATTTCTAATATGATAAATATTGACAGATATCACCCATATAAACAAAAGCTCTTGGGAATCTTCAATAATTTTTAATAGTGTAAAGGGATCCTGAAACTAAAAATTTTAAGAACCACCGCTCTATGGAGCCATGGAATGGGATGCCTGAATAATATCGCCTGGAGAAAAAGTAGGAGGAGCAAGAAGAGGGTCTAGGACCAAGAACCAACGTGTTTCAGCATTTAGAGAGTACCTGCTTTTCCTCTTCCTCTACCCACTGAAGACAGAAAGAATAGCCATAGAGGTTTGCGGAGAACATGGTATCATGATAGCCAAGGAGAAGAGAAAGCTCGACTGTGTTGATTTTTACAGTCTAACTCTCAAAAAGCTATCTGTTTTCCTCTTTCCTGGTTTGGAGTTGGAGAGAATACTATTTGCATTACCCCAAATAGTAATTAAAATACCTCTATAAGCAATGTGAACTTGGAGAAGTCCTTTAACTTCTAAAGGCCATTTTTTCATCTGTAAAGTAATGTCTCTTAGGTGTAAGTAAGTTAATTTATGTAAAGTACCTAGCACAGTGTCCAGTATATTGTATAAGTCCATGACATACACAAACATTAGCTGCTATTATTGTTGTTATTTATGGAAAGCTCTTAAAGTTTTCCAAGATACCAGTCCCAAGATGCTGATTCGATGGCATCTAGCTATTTAAAACTTCTTCAGTCATTTCCTTCCCTGTTTTATTTCCGTCATTGTCACATATGGACTTCATGTTAGTCAATAATAGATTGTCTTTGGCATTCAGAAAAGGTGATTAGTGTGAGGTAAGGGTGGGATAAGAGGGAAAATCAACAGTAAAAGCTCCTGCCTTTTAGTGGTTACTGGTTATGATGTTTTCTTTATGATCTGGGCAAAACATTTTTTCTGGGTTTTCCAATTTTCTACTCTGTATGCTTTTGAAAAATGCAAAGGGAAGCTGAAAGAGAACTATTATGACATAGTGTCAGACATTTAGTAGATGCTCAATAAAAACCTGTTGGTGTGATTGGCTTTTTTGATTTTCCACATTAGAGGTAGCTCTCATAACCTTATCCCTATTCAGCCATGCGATTTCTCTAGCTTCCGCCTTAATAATCTGGTCTGATTTTTACTTTTTGACTTTATAGTTTGCATTTTCTGTTCGTTTAAAATTCAGACTTTAGCTAGTCTTGATATTTGTTACCCTTCCTGTATGTTAATAGAATTTGTACCTACAGAACTAACTGTTTAAAAAAAGCCTCCAAGTTAACTTGGATTACTTTCTTCTTTTTTTTTTTTTTTTTGGCAACAGGGCCTCACTCTGTCGCCCAGGTTGCACTCTGTCGCCAGTGCAGTGGCTGATCTCAGCTCAGTGCAACCTCTGCCTCCTGGACTGAAGCAATTCTCATGCCTCAGCTTCCTGAGTAGCTGGGATTACAGGCATGTGCCACCACACCCAGCTAAATTTTTTATTTTGCTGGAGATGGAGTTTCGCCAAGTTGGCCAGGCTGGTCTCAAACTCCTATCCTCAAGTGATCCACTCACCTTATTTTTTAATAGGTCAACATTCATATGGTTCAAATTCAAAAGTTTAAAAAGTCATCTCCTCATTATTTTTCCCAGCTACCTAATCCATTTACGTGGAATCAACTAATATAATCAGTTTTAGTATCCTTTCAGAGGAATTTTATGCATAAAATTCTTACCTTTTCTCATGAATGTTAGCCTAACATGTTTACTGTTTCAGTAAGAAAATCAACAACTTACTAAAAAAAGGTCTAAAACAATGAAGTATCTTTAAAAAGATACTTTCATAATTTTGCCATATTCATATATAAGATATTTCTAATTTCTAATTCTTTCATGGTTCAGAGTGTTCTGTTGTGTATGTGGACCCATAATTTACTTAAATTGTCCGTACCAATAGACATGTAGATTACTTCTAATTTTTTGCATGTACAGGGTCATTCCTTATGACATCATTTGGCACGTGCAGTTATATCTCTATCAGATGAATACCTGGGGTGGAATTTGTAGGTCAGAGGATATATGCATCTCTTATTTTGATAAATATTACCAAAATTGTCTTCCATGGTGTTTGTACCAACTTTTACTCCTATCATATTCCTTCACTCTTATCTCAAACATAATGCTCAACAAATATTCTCTCTCAAACCGCAATGTGTTCATCATCATTTTGAGAAATTTCACAGGTGAGGCATGGTGGCTCACTCCTGTAATCTCAGTAATTTGTGAGGCCATGGCAGGCGGATCACTTGAGCTCAGGAGTTTGAGACCAGCCTGGGCAACATGGCAAGACCCCTGTCTCTATACCATCAAAAATGAAAACATAAAAAAAGAGAGATTTCACAGATGAGTGCAGAATGATAGGCCAGAGAGATCACAGATTGGCTTTCAAGATACTTTTTATTTTTATCTTTTAATTTTTATTTTTTAATTTTTGTTTGTTTGTTTTCTGTTTTTTTTTTTTTTGAGACGGAGTCTCGCCCTGTCACCCAGGCTGGAGTGCAGTGGCGCGATCTTGGCTCACTGCACCCTTCACCTCCCAGGTTCAAGTGATTCTCCTG